AAAAGAAAAGAAAAGGAGACAAGAAAAGGAAAAGAAAAGAACAAAAGAAAACTGAATTATACCACTGTCAGCTAACCATCAGACAAAGGAACAACTGAACTGAAAAAGCAAATGGAAACAGGCAGGATCCAAACATTTAAAATTCTGTTTCATAAAACAATTTTTCACATATAATGAATTTTTAATCAGTGCATTCCACTTACAAAGGCATGACAGGCTTTGCTATGCACCTTTAATGCTCTGTATAGGACTGTAACTAGCACATAGGCATTGTGCAATCATGAGAATGGTCTTGAGAAGCAAATTTCAGCTTAGCTTTTTGGAAAGAGAATGACACCTCAAACAGTTTGGTTTTTATTAACTAATATTAATACTCTCTTCTAATGTTTTGTCATTCCAATGTCATTAACTCAGGAATATGCTTACAGAGGAAGGGGTTGCTGCGATCAGCTGTAATTCACACTAATTTTCTTCTGATAGTTTTCAATTTCTCAACTATGAGAGACTTTTTTCTACGAGCATGCACTTAGTTCTCTAGGCAAGGATAACATCTGTAAGCATTAGGCTCCCTTTATCTTCTCCAACAGCTGAATATTTGTAAGGTTCCCAGGTACTCTTTGCAAATACTGGGAATGAACATCAAAGACTTCCTCTGCAGCTGTGTAAAGCAGACTTGGGAGAAAAGGCAATTTCTTCATGGAAGGCAAAAACCCAGTAAGATTCCCTATGACATAACAAATTACAGTAGGTTTTTTGGAATTACTGAGTGTTTTGTTGCCAGAAGGTGAGCATTACCAAATAAACAATAGATCCACTGGCAGTTCAGAAGGAGCACAATGGAGTAATTTTGCTCAGGCACTCGTAACAAATTCTTCAGAGTAGAGAGTGCTGCCAGAGACCACAGCAAAGCCTTGAGAGTAGTATGTAGACAAGCCCGCCCTTCCTACTGTGAATAATTTTGAAGAAAATTGTAGGCAGAGCTGAAGAGCAACTGGTTGTACAGGTAAATGTCTTAGGAAGGCTTGAATGCCAATCAACGAAAAATGGCCGGCTGCAGGGACTACAGGTTTGAGTTTTGGTTTAAGTTCTGTAAAAAGAAAGGGAGCATCAAGAGCCAAATGACAGTCAGAGCCTAGATTTATTCATATGTATCACCTATCCCATCTTCCATAGAAATGAGAAGGCCAACTGTTCTGAACATGACAACACAGAACCCATCTTTCCTGTTTTATCTGTCATCTAGGTGGCCTTTTCTCTTCTTAATCATTCCTAGCAGCCTATTCAGACCAGACAGCTTTTTCTTCACTTACTCTCTGGCAGCCCATGTCAATAGTTTCCTCTTCCACAGGAGCTTCTGACATGGGTTTCCTTTTACAGATGTAGCCAATTTTCTTTTCACAAGAATGGTCTGCCCAAAATCCATCCTGAACATAAGCACAGAACATTGCAGTCAAGTGGGATTTAGTCTTAAAAAAAGGTACTTCATGCTTTAAAGTATTTAATTATTTTTGCTAGCTTCAAAAGAAGCAGAAACTACACCTCAGTTCAATTCTTAATTCCAACCTCATTCAAACCTCACTTCTACTGGGGCTGATTCACCATTGACTTAAATCCTTCTTTGGTTATTACCTTTCTGAAAAGCAAACCCTTGGAGGTGCACTGAACGCTGCCACTTTTAGCATGGCACATAGGACATGACCAGCAAGTCTAAATCTTATTGTTTTGAGACTCTGGCTGTTGAATTAATATTATTTTAATACTCAACCAAGTGTTAGATCCTTTTTATAATCCTGGGTCATCTTCTATTAACAGATCTGCCTAGATACATACAAGCAAACACACACCACTGCATGTATCTGTAACCATTCTTGCCTCCTTGTAACTGAACTGCTTGTGTGTTCTAGTGGCTCAGTCTGAGCATACACTTCAGGACTTTACTGACTATACAAAGTAGGGTGAGGAGACAAATAGGAATGACTCCTATTTTTCCATCCATTTACCTATCCAGTAGGTTTAAATGAATGACCACATGGAGGGGTGTGCTGGCTTTGGTTGGGATAGGGTTAATTTTCTTCATACTAGCTAGCATGGGGCCATGTTTTGGATTTGTGCTGAAAACAGTGGGATGTTTTTGTTAGTGCTGAGTCTTTTCTGCTTCTCACACCACCCTACCAATGAGTAGGCTGGGAGTGCACAAGAATCTGGGAGGGGACACAGCCAGGACAGCTGACCCCAACTGATCAAAGAGATATTCCATATCATATGAAGTCACATTCACATAAAAAGCTGGGGGAAGAAGGAATGGGGGGACGTTCAGAGTTACGGCATTTGTCTTCCCAAGTAACTGTTATGGATGATGGAGTCCTGCTTTCTGGAGATGGCTGCGTTTTTTGTGATTTTACCCCAGTTGTCAGCTGGGGTAAAATCACAAGAAGGGGGGGGAAATATTAGATAGAAAAATATTAGATAGACCAACAGTGGTTCTTTCAGGGCTTGGCATTGCAGAGTGGCATGAATTTACTCCAGACCATGCTTTTCTGCCCTGCACCTGAGGATACTGCTAGGGCTAGTTGCAATCTCTCCCTACCTCACCTTTTTCCTAAAGTCTTAGGGAATTAACCAGGCATGTCCTTCCTCTAAACTCGCAAGAGAAACTAAGGTAGCTGCCTCTTCCCTAGAGAAATGCAACAGGTGCTAAAAATCAAATTATCACAAGGAGTGATTTGCTTAGATTTGCAGAAAATTAGAATCTGGTGGATCTCAGCTTCTGTACACAAATAGAGATTTTGAACCTGAATCAAAGTTCCCCAAAATTCTGTAACACTTGGCTTGGCCAGAAAATGCCATCCAGATCCTCAGAGAGACACAAAACTTTTAAAATACTAGCCAAATTATGAAATGCCTGTCAACCTCTAACCTCCTCTAATATTTCCTGCACCAATACTTCCATGTACAACACTATAAACCTCCAAAGTTCACATCAACAGATGAAGGTAGCTAAAGGGCACAGGATGGTAGATGAGACAAAACCTCAACTATGTGTTCCTTGCAACTTACTACGCACATGTATCAAGGTCAGTTGTCTTGCAAACCTCCCATTCCTGAGCAAGTTCTCCAGCCTTGACCAATATAAAAGTTCTTGAAGCGACCGCCATTTACAATCTCAAATGACTGACCCTCACATTTGAGCATTCAGCTGCCTTCCTCTGACTGACCCTATAATTCTGTTAGACAAAAAATCTACTACTTCCTCAACCAGCACTGGCATAGCCACTGCACAGACAATGGAGCACAAAAATCTTCACACCCTTAAAAATGTGTTTATTCCAATACCATGTGCACCATGGCCTGGTTGCCATGGAAGAAATATACATTTAGACTCTTCTCACCAGAGCACAGCCACTAACGCAATGCAGAAGAATTTTTAATAGAATATAATCTTACCCATGCTTGTGACCAGTGCAAAACTCTTCACTAAAATGCACATCAAATTCTAACTTTCCAGACCCATCTGACTGCACATGGAGTTCCTTCTCCCAGCTGAGCTCGTACAGCAATGAAACTGTAGATCTGAGCTTTGGCCCAGCCAGAGAACAGCTCCACAAATACACATAGCTCTGCCCAATTTTGGGAGGTTAGTATGCTGTACCCTATACAGGTTTGCCTCTTCCATGGATAGTACTGCAGTTTTCTCTCTCAAGGATGCTGTTCTAGTTCTCTTCCTCATTCCTTCCAGGAACTGATGATGTTGTCCCTTTTTCTTCTACTGCTGCACCTGCTAACTCCCATACAGCTTCTTCCAGCTGCAGAGTTGGCTCAGCCCTTTCCTGTTGCACCCAATCTAAATTTCTGGGCTTCACTATTTGTGCACCAGAATGATGAAGACACATGAACCAGCTGCATGCATACATGCCACTGTTGCTGTTGAGGATAGCACCTAAGTGAAGCAAGTTAGAAAACTAGGCCTATTGGGGCTTGAGTGTGGGCTTGCCCTATGAGGCAAGCTCTGTATAGTGTTCAGACCAATTGGGAAAAACTTTTCTGTTCTCCTTTATAATTTATAAGTGCGCTTGCCAAAAGTACAACCCTCAAGTTTCAATTTTGCAAAATTAGAAAATGCCTTTGGTATGGGTAAATACCTTTTTCCTCCCAACAGAACAGGTAAATCCCAAAGAAAGTTCAATATTTCTAATTATCACAAAGAGGAAAAATATCATTTTGCAACATCACACGCAGACTGACTTTCATATCAGGTATTATCTCAGCTCCGGTAGTACACCCAGGTCATCAATCATTGCCATATTCCAAAAGGCAGCCTTTTCAAAGCAGTCTTTTAGTTGTAGGTGTACAGTCACTCAGTAAAAGCTTCCACTAATGCCACTGCTAACTCCTTTCTCACAACTTTTCATGTACAGTGCAGATACAACCATAACATCTAATCCACCTAGGCCTGAGATTTATAACTTTGCCTAGAAAAAGAAAATGAAGGTTTCTGTTTTCTTCTGAAGACATTATTTCTCTCTAACATCATTAAAAATTGCTAGTGCAATTTTTTAAGGTAGGTGTATATCCCATATTTAGTCAAAGCAGAAAAAATCCAAACATATTCATAATGTCTTTGTAGCTTCCTGAAGAAAAGCATTTACAAGGCCATGTGCTTCACAGTGTAATGAAGAGTTTCTTCAAAAAAGCTGGCATGCACAAACTGAAATCCATAAATAAGGATCTTGGGGGGCAGTTGCCTTCAAGGAAAGCTGCCACCTGCCTGCTTCTCTGGGAAGACAACAAAAACAACTTTCTGGCAACCTTGAACAGGGATCCTCCCTCAAAAAAGTAACACCTATAAGACTCTAAATTAGGCTGCTTCAAATAGTAATATCTCATACTTTTGTGCTCTTGCATAGAAAAAAGCCCAAACGATAAATGAAATTATAAGATAATTAAGTCAATAGCTATATGACTTTACCTTTCCCTTCATAACAACGCAGTCCTCTTGCCTGTTGTTTGCATGAGTGGGTTCTCCAGGAAGCCACTTGGTGTAGGTGACAGGTGTCCCATCGCTCCATTCAAAATACATCTGAACCTTGAGGTCATTCAACCCAATCCATAGCTCATCAACTGGCTCTAAAACATACAATTAACAAGGTTGATAATAGTCCTTTTATTTGACATGAACTTTTATCTTCATGGAACAGACAATAATTTATTCTCAGGAAGTTTAAAAGGCAGTCACAGGAAATTAAGGCTCTCTGTTTCATAAAGAGGGCAGACCATTCCTCATATACCCACTCCAGTCATCAGGAAAGGCCACTCACTGCAGCGGCAATATCATTAAGAGTGTATAACTTTGTTTAAAACAGCCAAAATACTCTCTGTTGCATTATGTTGCAACACAACTAGGTTCATTCTTGTTTTCCAGCTCAAAACTCTTGTAATAATGTGTGAATAAACACCTGAATAAAATGCTACCTCCTCTTTTCCTCCTACCTTAAAATCCTCCACTCTAACACTTTGTTACTGTAATGTTCATACCTAGTTTTGTTCTGAATAAACTATATGAATGAGGATTAAAAATTTGGGTATTTATAATCAGTCTGAAGTCTGTAGTCATCGAAACGTATTCCTCTCTACAACTGATTTTATGACTTTGTTCAGTGCAATTGGCATATTTTAAATTATTATTTAATTATTTATTTATAGTCCGTCACTTACCCTGTGCTAAAGGCAGCAGGTGTTTCCTTTTGTCCACAACACTGTGACTCAGATGATACTGACCAACTACATGCACAGTCCTTTCCTTAGACAGCAGTCTTTCCAAGCGAAGTATGAACTACTTGGTTGCTAGAACTTACTCATTATGAGTATTTTTCACAAATGATAGGGAGACTACTTTTTAACAGTTTTTTCCACTGCTTATGACCTCGCATTTCTACAACCTGCCTACAGCACTCAGAGGTTTTTCCTGTTCAATTTGTTATCATAGCTCTTGCTTTCTTCTGCAAGTCTTCCTCTAACATCCTCTCTCCAGACATATCACAGTCAGCTTGACAATGAAATCACCCATGGAAATTAAACCTGGCATTGTGAGCCCACCCAAAAAGACATCAGCTGCAGGAGTGGGTGTCTCAATGGAACTGGAACTGTTTCTTTTCTGTTGCAGCAGAAGTGCCTGTAAAACAGTTAAAAGTCATTGCCCCCAAGGCAATCCTTTCTGGTTAACACATTTCTGACGGAGGTTTTCCTAGATAGTCTCACAAGTTAAAACTCTCCTGTGACAACACAAGAAGGACATGAAGATGATCAGAGGGCTAGGGTTGTTCAGCCTGGAGAAGAGAAGGCTCTGGGGAGACCTCAGAGCAGCCTTCCAGTATCTAAAGGGGGCCTACCAGAAAGTTGGGGAGGGACTTTTTACAGCTCTGTGAAGCCTTTTCCTACATAACATTTTCTCCTCTGAAGAAGAAATGCTGTCATAGAGATTTCCATTCATCTCTAAAGTTGAGTGACTAAATACCAAGATTTTTTTCTTTCCCAGCCACTTATAAAGAAGCTGTTTCCCACTCTCTCAGACATGCACTGAGCAATATTTGCACCATATCACATGCTGGACTTCCATGCAAACATCCAGAATGCAATTCTTTATTCTTCTTCATATTCCTCCCTAAAGTTCTCCTTTGTGCGTGATGCCAACAAAAGCTCAGCTACTATGACAATACGAATCTTGTTGTACCCCTTCTTCCTTTGTTTTATCATGGGACTATGAATTGTTTGGCTCAAAGACAGACTTTTGTTCTTCCTGCACAGCACTTATTATAGCACAATTCTGATGCAGACAAGATTTTCTAGGCACTGCAATATATGTGTTCTCATCTCAGTGTGTTCACCACTGGGTGAACCCACCTACCCACAACAAGGTAATCTGATACTGTCATAAACTGCCGTAAAAGGCTTCTTTAGTTGTTCCAATTTTGCTCCTCTGAAAAGAATGCTTTCGAAATAGTCCATTGCAGTGACTGTGCCATATGTGAGATGCCTGGTTTCCTTCAGGACTATTTACCTTTCAGAAATATTCACTTTTACAAAAACAATGCAGCACAGCCAGTTCAGGAAATGTCTTTGGAGAAGGCATTAAGCCATGAAATAATCTACTTCCAAGGAGTAAGGTGAAAATACAACTAATTTCCTTTAGAGCCTAACTTCTTTCAAATGTCTTAATGTGTCATCAAGAGGTCTCACCTTTTCTAATAATCTCCTTTGAAAGAGTGAAAGTTTTATGCTGTTCATGAAAGAACAACAAATCACTTTTTCAGGAATGTGAGGACAAGCACAAGTTACCATGGAGTTGGCTAGGACACAAAACTAAATCATATCAGCTATTTAAGGATTGCCACTCCAAGATTGCTGTTACACTGCAGCTCAAAGCAGCTTACTGCACTTTCTGTGAAAGATAAACTGACTCACACTTACCTCGCACTAAAACCACACATAGGATCAGTTACTACAAAAGAAGCATAGATAGGTGTGAACATGTTCCTGACATCAAAAAGCAGCAACTGATGCTACATGTAAAATCAAGTTCATGTAAAACAATAGCAACCACAAAATTACCTAAGCGTCAGCATGATTGCATCTCCCTTAATAAGCACACGGCAGCTGTAGCCTAACTTGCTCTGCGACAACTCGAATATGAGCTCAGAAACCAAGCACCTAAGTACCATATTTAATTTGGGGCACATCTGAATCCACATACTTGGACAGGCAGTTTCCTTTTTCAGAAGAAACACAAGCAGTGTGACTTGAAAAATAAAGACATGGCAGTGCTGGTTATAGGACCCAGATCTTCCCACATTGTCTTTGACCAATAGACTTTGCTTCCCCTCATCTATCTAGGTTGCCCAGAGAGGTGGTGGAAGCCCCATCCCTGGATGCATTCAAGGTCAGGCTGGATGGGGCTCTGAGCAACCTTATCCAGTTGGAGAAGTCCTGCTCACCTGCTCACCGCAGGGGGGTAGGACTAGATGACCTCTAAAGGTCCCTTCCAGCCCAAATGATTCTATGATTCTATGATCTTTGCAGACGAAGAGTATAAATCCTTCCAGCTTCTGAAAGGTTGAAAATTGTTTTAATCTGTATAAAAGGAGGTAGAAGCAGACCCTAAGAAACAGGAATTTGGGGTTGATGCAACTCACATCATTGACTGCAGTTTTTCTGTGAAGGTACAGTTTGTTTCATTTTCTTGCTCTCATTGTGGTTTTTTTCTTCCACAGATTTTTTAAATTTAAAATTTAACTCCTTCTGCACCCTGTGATCATTATTTTTTAAACAGCCTCCTCCTTTTATTAATAGGTAAGACATATTCAAAACTCTTTATTTTCTTAGTGTAAATATATATATGTTATTGTAAAAAAATACTCACGATACCCAAGCTGAGAAATAACAAAGCTGTACTCTTCAACATTGTGAATGCTCGCCAGATCTCCATCCTCTTTCCTGCAAGATGTTAAGGCATCTTTCCATATTTTGGGGTCCCTGTGAATTACGTAACAGTGACCAGCATATGACATCCATTGATCAGGACATCTAATAGGCACATTAGTCTCTGAAAAGAAAAATTACCATGAAGAGTTTCAGAATTCTATTCTTAACTAAAGATTGAAAATCACATAAGATTTAACAAATAAATTAATCATGTATTTTTTTCATGAAGAACAGCAGAGCCAAAAAATATTTACAGGGATAATAATCTGCATGCATGACTGGAATTTGAAACTTCCAGATTTTTTTTGTTAAAAACACTACAGTTGCAAACAATGGCTTGCATGTTGTGAAAAGGCAGAATTAAAAATTACCATAAACCAAAGTTTTTACTTTTATGTACATACATACATACTAAAAGGTAAGGTTTGCAGAGCTGTGCTTTATCATTTTTCTACACTCCTCTCAGTATTTCTGTTCCTGCTCCATACTGTATTGTTCTATGTTAAGAACCTGGGCTTACAAAACATATTTATGAAGGTAATTTTTTTCCCTAAACCTTAGGCATTTTATGCATTAGCCCCATTTGCTAGACTAGCAAAGAAAAGATAACTGGTTCTACAGGATCACGAGAGAACCCAAGTAAGAATACTGCTTTTAGGAATCCTTTTTAAAAGATTCATTGAGAAAATTTTACTGTCAAAGTAAACGATTTATGCTTAAAACTTGCTTTAAAAGTTCAACAGAACAGCACCAAAGTACTGCCAACAACCACATTGCTGTTCAGCAAACAATTCAGCCTTGGGAGGAGTGCCACCCAAACATATAATAGACAGAACGTTGCTGTTGTAGAAACAAATCATGATTCGTGCAACATTTATTTACAATCAACAGACGGGTTTAGTAAACACCAATATAGAGAGTAGAACAAGGACAGCAGGTTTGTAGAAATTCTGTTGGCAAAAAACTTGTATATGTCAGGGAAGGAGAAGCAACGTGTTTGTGTATGACTGAGGTATATTCTGTAGAAATATTTAAGTAGGCATCCAAAGTCATGACCAGTCAGGCTCAGGTTGCAAGCACATCCTGCTTCAACTGGAATATGCTGATGATTGGTAGATACTTAGTGTGAAAACATAAATTTCTAGCACAGCTATAAACAGTGTCTGCTGTTTGCACATCTGCCTGAAAAAAGTGCTAGCATGTTCTCATGAAGTTTAAGTAAAACTGAACTTTTTGACTCCAGGACAAGGGGCACAGTGCTTGGTCAGAGCCCTGTCAGTCCTGCCATAGGAGAGGAAGAACTGGAGTAGAGAGTGGGGGAATCCCAGAAAACCAAACTGAATGTACGTGGTGGTGTTGGCAGAAACGAGAGATGACAGAGGTGGTAAACGCTGTTGTAGAGATTGGTCTGATGCTTCAGAAAGCTGCCTAATTTGTCCTATGTTTGGTCTCAGCTCTGAGCATATGCATTTTACAGTGCTTTGCTACAACAGTCAGAGAATTGCTTTGAAAAAATATCTATGCATATATGCACCTCCAACACACTTAGTGCACCCTTCTGCAAACTGCAAACCCTGAATAGAACAGACCTGGCTACAAAAACAGTCAGAAAAGTATTTATTCCCCAGTGAGCCTGTAAGAGTCTCTTTTTGAGACTGGAGGAGGCTGTGTGACTATTACTGTAAACACTAAAGCAGCTATGGCGGGGTGGGAAAATATTTTGCTTGTAAATCCAGTAACACTAGGGAATTGTTGCAGACTGCAAAACAAGAAAAGCAGTTGACAGTCTAGTTTCTTTGGTGCAAGTCTTATTGAATGACCTAACTGGGGATTTCTCAGTAAGAGAAACTCTTCAGTTCTTAATTTCCAGTACTTAGCAAAAATTAACTCTGAGCTTCTCTATTTTTCTTTTCTAAAAAATATGTGGCAAATCAAAGCCATACAATCTATTTTCTCATCCTAATGGAAACAAGTACTACTCCATGAACTTCATTTGACTTAACAAGAGAAGTAATGCAAATTACAACAAATAAGATATAACAAAACGAAATCACATTAATGTGTAAAAAATGTTATCCCAAATGTAAAGCTTATGAATGTACTGTGGAATAGATCAAGATACAGAAATCAAGTTTGTAAGCGTAGAATGGTTATTCCTCAAACAGAGAGCAAATACTTTTGTAAACTGTAAGCTTGGCTTCCTGAAGTCTGAAGATCTCACAGTGATTGACTTGGGAGTCTAAAAGAGTGAAAGCACTAGCTGAAGTTTGTGTCTTGATTCAGGTAAATTTCTCCCTCTCACACCGATCCTCTGTGGTCTGATAAAAGAGAGCTCACACAGCAGTCACAACGGTGACACTAAGAGCATTTCCTCTAGTTGAATGTTTTATGAAACATTTGGAAACAATACTTTAAGATCACTGCACCTTGTTGGATTGGGAAGAAATCTATTTTAGCAGTCACCTGGTGGAGGCAGACAGACAGATTGCCTGTCCTTAGAAAATTAAGCTAAAAAATAAGCAAGTTTTGCAGGTGAAATTAACAAGTTTCTATCAATCCGCTTTGCTGTATTACAGGGCAAATGCTTTGAAGCCCTAAGGTGCTATATCACTTCGATGTATACAATGATGTGGCCCCCTGCTGGAAAAAACACTTGTGCTACAAAAAAAAAAAAAATGTACAGCTGTTGGCTTTGTGAAAATCTCCATCTGCAACAAAAATAAATATTCTCTAAAGATTTTTCTCTACTTTGTTTTGGACACAAGTATGATTATATTCTGTTGTAAAGTGTTCTTCTACCCCACAGTCCTCACATACTGCCTTGTTAGACTCAATTGTAACTTCTAGGGTTAAAATTTCAAAGGATTGACTCTGAGTTTAATGTTAAGTGCACAATTAAGTCCATACACGAATTAGCAATTAATTTATTTCTTGACTCAGGAGCCCTAGTCAGGAAAACATCATCGGCCATGAGTTTTCCTTTACATCATTAGAAGTTGAGGGCACTTAACACCTTGCATGATTGTATGCTTATCCCTTTTATGACTTCCGCCCATGGGACATTTTGGAAAATATTTCATGAAGTAAATCACTGCCAATCTCTGGTTAATCTTTCGCCATGTTTGCCCAGCAATTTCTGTACAATTGAAAACTTTTGTCTTATTTCTCTTCTTCCTCCAAATTACTGGTAAACTGGGCACGGGAGCAGTGGAGAGAATCAAAAGCCTAATGCATAAGAAAGAGATGGCCATTAGATGCCTCAGAACTGAATTTAAATCTAAATGAAAGAGCAGCCATTATTGAATTGACAGTATATTTATAGGCATCAGTGTTTAAGAATTGATGTATGAAACCTGAAAAGCTGAGTAGGAGCCAATTGAACAATCTAAGACAACCTACATAAACCAAACGATGTGGTTATCAGCTGTATACAAATACTAACAAGACTTTACATCTTCATTTAGGAAACAATTAAAATATGCACAGAAGGTCTCTGCTAAGGCAACAAATATGCTAGAATTCAATACTGAAGCATTAATTTAAGTATTAAATAATGATTTCAATATTTAATTAATGAGACACTAGCTTTTTCTCGTGTTTTTTTTTCTCCTAGCAGTGAAGCAAAACAAATTAGACAGAGGTCTGTGTTCTAAGAGGTTTTGACTGGACTGGTTATATATTGGCAAAAGCAAGAAAAATGCTAAAAGACATGGTTTTTAAGCCAAATGTCAAACACTAAGTTTCCAAAACATTTGATTTGCCAATAATGCATATTAATAAATGGACTGGAAATCCAGTAATGGTTTGGTTTTCTGCTTCTAAAACCTATACAAAATAATGTCAGTGGATTTGGGAGATACCTGTATGTCCTGGAAAGGGAAAGAATCTTGGAAAGAACAGAAAGAAGGAGTGATGAAATAAAGGAATAAGTTACAGGGTTTTTATAGTACACAGAGACACAATAAGGAAACAGGTCTAAATAAAGCTATGAAAACTTATCCCTGATTTACCTTTCATATGTACATTAGGCAAGAGCCAGAATTATATTTCTTCTGAAAATGTGTCTGTATATATATAATTTAAATAATTTCAAAAATAAATTAAATAGTTTTTTATATATAAATAAATACATTTATATTTAGATATAAATATATGTATCTATATAAAAAATATTTAACTCTCTGAAAGGAATACTAAAAAATTCTTCTAGTCCACTACCAACTTGCACTGGCAAACTTACTCTTTCATAAGTAGTAAAAAGGACAGCAAGAAGAAACAGATTAGTTTCACTGAGTACATGGGGCTTTAGATGACGACATCACCTTTTTAAGCATTAAATTATTTCTCTTTTTATTTTATGAACAAAATCTGACAGTTCTGCTTAGTTTTGGAAAAGAGAACTCCACCATTTCTGCAATTTAGAACTCAAAGCTACTGCAGAAAGATTACTACACAGGAAGTATGGAGGCCAGAACAAAAAGGAAGTACACACTGTTCACTTTTACAGAGAATCTTGCTCAAGCCACAGTCTGCAGAGACCTTTGCTTGGTTTTACCATGTGCAATAACAAATACTTATTAGAATTACAGATAAAAACCACTGGCCATTAATAACTTGTTGAGGATTTATTACCAAGCCTACCTGTAGGAATAATGAAAGATTCTAAAGTAGTATTTCCTCGTTTACAAATATAGCCCAGTTTCTGATCACATTCCCGATTCTCCCACTTAGCACCTTTGCCAGGATTTAATGCTGCACAGATTTTTCCAGGTTCTGGAGAGGGATGTCCTTTAAAAAAAATACAAAAGAAAACCTCAACAACAACAACAAAGTACAACCACATCATGGTTACCTTTCCAGTTTCTCTCACATTCCAATCTGTTCCGTGCTTTAATTACAAGATACATTAACATATAGACAATCGTGATTCTCCACAGTCCTTTAGACTGAATGGGACAGTTCATTTCCTTAAACTTGCTTTTTCACAGCCACCACAAGTTGAGATATTTACCCAGTTCACAATTCAATAGCCTCTTCACAGGTTCAAAGTCTTGATGGAACGTATTACAGTGCACCTATTTATTTTGTGGTTTGGGGTTTTTTTCTCCTTTTCTAAAGCAAGAAATTCTAAACTCCAGAGCACAATCTTTAGGTGAAAAAACAGTTCAGTAAGTTAGTCAAATTCTGTGCTTATAATAGTAAAGACAGAAAAATTATAAGTAATTATTTTGGTAATGTGAACTTCTTATCCACTTCTCTAAACAACACAACAATAGCAGGATATTTGGATATTTTCAGTTGAATATTAGCATTAACACTAACGGAAACATCTAGAATAAAATTAGAACCTGTAGAACAGAACAAATTTCTCCAATAAACCAGATGAACTTTTCAAGATCTGATCTAGTGTGATTAAACTCAATATGGATTTTCTTCCATTTCTGAACACATGCCACTATACCATATGACAAGCAAGCATCAGTACTGCTCAGCAATAAACACAGTGAAACAATATTTTTTAGTGTGCAAGATTGTTGACTGAAAATTTTCTTATACCATTATGATTTCAGTACCTTAGATTACAGTTAGTGTTATACTTTCAGTCATCTTGTATCTTCTTGCCACAGGAGAAAAAGATATGCTTACTTCAAAAACACAAATTTAAATTGTTTTAACGCACAAAAAAATTTCAGCTGTTGGCAGTTAGCTCTCCCAAATGCCTAACCTGTATAATTTTAGTTTCAGTGTTGATAACTTAGTTCCCTTTGTCTTTCTGTTATTTATTTAGGGCTAATGAGATGGAAGAATATGAAGCTTCCACAAATTCTTTTAAAATATACTAGTGGATGAACAGCCAGGTTTTGAACATCCAGGGTAATGGGGATGAGATACAGGTAGGCTGACCAAAGTAAAGTCATGAAGGAGATAGCACAAATATAAAATAGGTTATACAGACTGAAGAGTATTATCTTTGAATGAAATTAAGGAGCATAAGGAGTTAAAGGTAAATGGAGCCCATTTTGGTTACACCAAAACCCATTAATTCTTTACAGGACAAATGAGTGTTGTCTGTAGTTTTAGCAACCATGAACAGCTCCCCTTGCTGCTTTGGCTCCACCTCACAATCAGTTTTCCCCCATTCTTCATTACATGGAGATCCTCTTGGATGACAGGCCTATAAATACCTCCACAGCAACTTGCAGTTCAGCCCATCTGTTCACCTTCTGTGCGCACTCCATTGGAGAGCTATTTATAAAATCATTCAATTCACTCTTCAAAGCTTACCTAGTCAAGAAATTTGTCCACCTAAAGTGTACTTTTGGCCTTGTCTACACAAGGAAGCCACTGGGTGATATGGTGGACTGTGTGTTCATAGCTACTGCAGATTAAGTATGTGACATGCTCAGTGAAGATAAAGAAGAGTATTACAATGCATAACTTCAGACATCTACTTTAAATTAATCTGCAAAGGCTTCCTGAATAGCCAGTGTAAGGGAACAAGGGTCCTGTGAAAAGACACCTTAACATAGGTACTCTGAATAGTAAAGCAGAAAAGCACCTCTTCTCTACTGTGAATACAGATGGCATAGAGACTAGCGTTTTATTAATGGCACCAGAGTTCAACATCGCAACTACAGGTGCAAATAGCTGGGTTTGCTTCAGAGTAGACTAGCCTAACACGGTCAGTTTGACACATGTTACCACCATGGGTTTGTTAATCCGCAATGAAAATGAAAATCTAAAGTAAATAACCAAAACAAATTGGAAAGGAATGGAATTTTAAAAACAAACAAACAAACAAAAACATACACTGACCAGTCTAATCTCACAAATGAAGACACCTATGCCATTAATTTTATTCTGTATTCATATAGAAATAAAGTAAATTAAGAAGATATACAAATGAAGTGTAAATAGATGATTTTTAAAACTTGCCTCTGGATTTTGAGGCTACCATTTCCATTGTGAATAATAAAATAAGCTGAGTGTGTATTCCTAGGTTAAGGGTTGCTACTCACAGTGTTTATAACCACAGTTAGAATCTTTCAACATCAAACAAGTTCAATAATTGCAGGAGAATAGAGTGTTAGAAAAGAAATATGTTACATGATGACCAAATTTTTGCCTTTTAAATGGATTAGCAATATGTTTAACCTTACCTGGAACCCAATTTAAGTATCGAAAAGGAGAACCACCAACCCATTGCCATCCACTGTTGAAATTCAAACTGTTAAGACCAAACCAGAGAGCAGAACTCAATCTGCCAGTCAAACCTAGGTAACAGAGACAAAGAGAGATACTGGAAGTGCACAGCAAGAGCAAACACTTTCTCAAACTTTAAGAGCTGAATTCTAGCTAAACTGTCTACTTCTGCTTTTCCCTGGTACAAGTTTTAACAACTTTCAACCTTTCGGTTAAGATGGCTATACTAAACCTGCAAAACATGTCATCTTACATGGGTTGCTTTAGTTTTACGGTTTTCATACTTTTAGGTGTGGAGGATTTTATTACAATAGAAGACAAAATGACACTTCCGCATGTTCTTTGTAAACCAATGATCAGAAATATGAAACAAATAGTTTTTTTCCAGAATTATAAAATATGAAATTGATAAAGTAGCACAAAAGGTCACAAAACCAAAAACCAGTTTTCTAAAATGAAATGTGAATAGTTTCCTATTGTGTATTTTCCCTTCCAATGAAATTAACAAGTGAGTTTCAAATTTACAAAATATTGTAAAGTAAAAAAACTGTTCACATTTTATCAAGCTACATTAAAATACAATCATTCCAAATACCATCTTTTTAACAGCACATCTTGTACATTTTTCAAATTCATCTGATTTCACTTCTTTAACCAAAGATAAGTCAGCCTTCCAAAATCAGTTCCAACTTATTGCTCTAGTTCTGAAAAGCACCTAGAAACATCATGCTTACGTACTTTCTGAATCCTCTAGCATTATTTATAGTCATTATTGATCAACTTTCTATCTCTGCCTTTTGTATAAGACTTGGAAGCTCAGCTGGATGACCACTGATTTCTTTGAATTAAATGTATTTCTGCATAGCTCACAGAAAATCATTGTGCAATATGTATTATTTCTGCTTCTACCAATGGCATCGTGCCAGTATGTAATTTTGCTCTGTATATTTTGGTTGTCTTTGACACCATGATTATGGGCAGCACTTGATGCATGGCAACGTTAAAAGCAGGGTTAGTTAAGCACTGGAAGGACTGAAATGTAATAGCAGAGCCTGATTTGGCACCAACACATTAATGTGTTCCAGTACTCCTATACAAACAAGTTGTGGTTAAGACAATCAAGAACTGAGGATGACAGGAAAACCTGGTACTGCCAGGGTAGCTGTAGAATGGAAAACTGATTTTCACATACATTTGGCAGCCATATCTACTAGTTTGCAATCAAAACGCACCTAGTAATAACTCATTCCTGTATGTTAGTGCCAGGCTGCTCCCTTGAGCATCAGTTTCAATAATTTCATCACATTCAGTTTAAAAAAAAAAAAAAAAAAAAAAAAAAAAAACACAAACCATGTTTTGATCAAATCCTTAAATTGAAAATAAAAGTTTAGACAGAACAGACCATTTATAGCATTAAAAATATATTTATCCTTCCTCTGAATGGGAGAAATATGGATTTGATGGATGGACTATTAGACAGATAAGCAATTGGTTGGATGTCTGTATCCAAACAGTTAGAGTCAACGGCGCAATGTCCAAATGCAAACCAGTAACAAGTGGTGTCCTTCTAGGGTCTGTATTGGGACTGATACTATTAAATATCTGCATCAATTACACAGACAGGGAGACTGAGTACCCCCTCAGGAAGTTCGCAGACGACACCAAGTGGAGTGGTGCGGTTGGTTTGCTTGAGGGAAGGGAAGGCATCCAGAGGGTCTTTGACAGACTTGAGGAGTAGGCCCATGTGAACCTCACGAAGTTCAGCAAGGCCAAGTGCAAGGTCCTGCACCTTGGTCGGGGCAATCCCCAATATCAATATGGACTGGGGGATGGAGAGATTGAGAACAGCCCTGCAGAGGAAGACTTGGGGGTAGCGGTGGATGAAAAGCTGGACATGGCCCAGCAATGTGCTCTTGCAGCCCAGAAAGCCAACGGTATCCGGGGCTGCATCCAAAGAAGCGTGGCCAGCAGGTCGAGGGAGGTGGTTCTCCCTCCCTACTTCACATGGGGTACTGCATCCACTTCTCAGGTCCCCAGTACAAGACAGACATGTCTTGTTAGAGCAGGTCCAGAGGAGGGCACTAAAATTCATCAGAGGGTTGAAACATCCCTCCTGTGAAGAATGGCTGAGAGAGTTGGGGTTGTTCAGCCTGGAGAAGTGAAGGCTCTGGAGAGATCTTATCACAGCCTGTCAATATATAAAGGGGCCTTATAAGAAAGATGGTGAGCAACTTTTTACTCGGGCCTGTAGTGACAGGACAAGGGGCAATGGTTTTAAAATGAAAGACAGTAGATTTAGATCGGACATAATGAAAAATTTTTTACGATGAGGGTGGTGAGGCTCTGGAACAGGTTGCCCAGAGAAGTTGTGGATCCTCATCATTAGAAGTGTTCAAGGTCAGGTTAGATGGGGCTTTGAGTAATCTGAGTGAAAGATGTCCCTGCTTGTGTCTGTGGGGTTGGACTAGGTGACCTCTACATGTCCCTTCCAACCCAAACCATTCTTGAATTCTCTGATTCTATCAACTTACATAGTACAACATATAGTTTATGGCATAGATTAGTTTATCTTCCACCTGATGTAACATATTCAAAATAGTTTCTGATCTATTTAACAGGTGAATTAGTGCACTATTTCATGTGTGTATACAGGCTAAGAAGGTAATAAAGAGGAGACTCTCATCGTAGACTGTAAATACATTCAAGTACAAATTCAGGAGACAGTTTTCTCAAAGAAGTCTGGAAATTACTTCAAAAAACATTGAAGGAGATTGAAAATAAAACAAGCTATTTGTGAGTCCTTTGTTAGTTCTTTTTCTTTCTTTCATATTTTAGCGCATATTGATGATGCAACAGCTTTAATGAGATGGGTCAAAAATGCTGACTAGTACACACAACAAGTAGAGCACGAGAAGGATGCAACCTTGGTATCTGCACCTTTTGTTTACAAACTATTTTGCATTTTCCTGCAATATTCATTCTTTATTGCTTGCACTAATTTCTGTATTTTTTATGTTGCTGTAAGTTTCTGGCAATAGTCGCTCAGGATAAAATAATAATTATCTGTCAGACTTTTCCAGCTGAATCATTCAAGATAACGATTATAATCTACTAATTATCAGAATTGAACAAACATCCATTTTCAAGACGGAACATGCTATGTAAGTGTCACTATTACAATAATGTACTTTTTAAAAAAATCATAGATAATATTACCCTACCTGTCAGGTATGTTTGTTCATGCAACTCTGTAATGCTTAATAACTCTGCCTTCTGTTGTTGACAGCTTTTTCTTGCCTGGTGCCATTTCAGAGCTGCCTCAGAGTTTATCTGGTACTGGACATTTGTTAAAGGATCTGTATTCCACAACAGATCAATACTATTAACTGTAGGGAGAAAAAGAAATGTTGTAACTGATCATGAAGACAGAGCCATAAAAAATATAGATTAAATTGTGTAGCAAAAATACACAAAGCCTAAACACTGCTATAGACAATTGGTTTGAAAGGAGTCCTGAGGCTCTCTAATGTGTTAGTAAATCCAGGGCAGAGCTAAACCATGACAGCTGTGTTGGACAGTACACAGGTAATGAAACAAGGTCACCATTTTCTCTGGTATAACAAAGCTGCTGTTTCAAGTAGAAGATAAACTACTAAAGTCATGCTAGAAGAGTTGGTTTGTCACTGTGGAGAAAACCACTAAAAACTTTGAGAGTGATGCCAGCTATTTTTTTTTACTAATTTTGGGTACTATGTAAAGTGGCTACGGATTTTCTTACTGTGATAGAGGTAATCAGATCCAAGCACTGAATGCAAAACTTAAATTATCAGCATCCATCTCACACTTTCCTGCAATTCTTGATTTGTCTTATGCATGTAACTGACATATCATCACGCTTTCTTCTCTGCCACATGATCTGACTGTGATCTCCTTGAATACCTGAACTTAGCACATTTTGGCAATGTCAAACCAGTGAAAATGTCTTTTTTTTTTAGAAGTGGCCCCAGAAGGTACCACACTCCTTACACTGCTGCAGTCTCTCCTGGCTTTTCTCAATTGAATCCCCACCATAAGCAACAGAAAACAGTGGAATCTTGCTCTGCTAAAAATGGAACCTATAGGACGACCCAACATTGAGCTAAATATCACACAAAGAGATTAAAATTGCATGACAAAAGCAGAACATAGCAGAAGTCACCGTATGTCTGCTGACAATGGGAAAACGACTGAAATTTCTGCAGCCTGTACCAGAGTTTCTCAAGTTGCAAGCTGTGAAAAATTTGAGAGAAAGAGGTCTTTTCCTTTTCCTAATTAATAGAGCTCAGAAAACTTAAGTGTGCAAGTAAGAGGAAAAGAGTACAATAAACAAAACTGAAGACAAAGGATGATACATGTTAAATGTCAGCAGGTCAGTAACCAGTTCCACATTTTCCTGTATTAAATCTGATAATCTATAGATAATAAGAAGTGTTTCTTTTCAAATTATCCTTATTTAAAAAAAATAATATATATATATATAATCTACTGTAATAATGACATTTGGCTAAAAACAGGAACTTTCATCCCATTATCTTTATCCACAAACCACCTTCTGTCCAAATTTTATGACTACCAGAAAGCAAAATTTCTTCACTACACTATGTTCTACAAGATCATAAATTCCTGTACACAAGCACAAACCTGGGATAAAATGGGGATTGCAAAAATAGTAAAATCTATAATTCAGTAAATACAACTGGCTCTGACTTGATAGAAAGGGGTTTATAAATCTTGTACAATTATTACAGAGTAAGAGGTAAACAAGTCTCAGGCATTCATCCAGCCTTCCACCTCACACTCCCAGTTTCATAATTTATAACTGATTTGCATATGGTGCTGTCCTGTAGACCTTTGGTTTTACATAAAAGTAAAGTTAATTTCTGAACCTTGGAAAATTTGTCTTTAAGATATTTGAGTTCTATGAGGTTAAACACCTTCAAAGAGCAGGATTTTGGAAAACAGATATGCTATTGTTTAAAGCTCAGTATTCCCAGAGAAACCAGATGATGAATCACTTTTCTGGAATGATATATTTTAACTTCTAAACTAAATTAATGTTAAACCACACTTGTCCCTTGTACATAACCAGAAACAGACTAAAAAAGCTGAACCTTATCCCTACACAGGTGAATTCAGTATGCATTCTTTTTATACACTGAAATTAGTGAGAACTAGCTATTTCCACTACAATTACTATCAAAAACCTGGAAGTACAATATAGTAAGTCAGAAGATTTCGCTCGTGTCTTTGAAAGTTCTGTCTTGCAAAGCAAAGCAGACCAAAAATGCATTGAATTTCAGGTATAGCCCTGGATGGACAAGTTCAAGCTTATAGGAAAGGCATTAAGTCCCAACCAATGCAGACATTCATGACATTTATAATTAAAAAAAATGTCAACATAGTTATCATGAATTAGAAAATGGAAGAATATTGAGAGATTTTAATTTCAAAATTGCAAGCTGAAATCTGGCCTTTGACTAGCAGTAACAATAAAGTGTTCTTGTTTGTTTAGTTATCCATCCAAAGCAAGTTGGAGTCTCAGTCCAATATCCTTGGAAACCGCATGAATAGAATCATGACAAACAAAAACTGAATATAAATCTTGTTAGATAGTCTATAAAATAACTGCCATTGCTTCCTCTCTGAGCATACAGTAGGGAAGAAATCTCATAATAAAGACATTACAGTTTATGTGAATTCATAGCATAGTATATGAAGATACAATGCTGTCAATAGTAGAAAAGTCTGAATTATACTAAACTTCCTTCACATGCTTATCTTCACTCTTTTCCTAAAGTGTTCCTCTATTTCTTTTGCCTAGATTAATTTAAGAGGTCCAAAGTCAGACTATGAGTTCCAGGTAAAGCAGAAGAAACAACACAATTAGTCCTATGTAACTCAGACTACCAATTCACCAGGCATTTTGAAACAGACATCAAACCACAATGAAAAGCCCTTCAAAACATCTCAAAACACCACCATGGGAAAAAAGCCTGTCATAAAAATAAATTCAGTATTTGTGAATGAATATAAGGATGTAGATTTGCTCAATAATTAACATACCAGACTAAGAATATCTAAATATTTCCTTATTCTCTGTACTTTTTGTTTTCTTACTAGTCAGCTGCAAGTTTTATGCATCACTTATAAGGCTTTCTAAACTTGTCACAGAAATCCTAGCTCTTTGATCTGTCAAAAAAAGGGTCCTCAGTGGACTTTCGCCCACTTGAGTAAAGCCATAGGCACACCATATGACTCGCTCTCCCAACGGTCTTACCCTGTGCAACCTGCTTTCTTCCCCAACAGGTACTCTTACATTGCAGTGCAACAGACAGCTCAAAAAGACACAGTGTAACCTGTAAAGAACCAGTATTTCCCAGGCTAGTAAAAATTGTCTGATGCAGCAACAGTTCTCAGTTTCTTCCTGTGGGTTTTAAGTTTCTACTGTCACTGTATCAGCATCTTTTTAAAGCACCAACTAAAGGGTCATACTCACAGTTAAGTTACCTCCACTGGTCAAATTTCTACACCTCTATTTAGTATAATAACTGTTATAACTATAGTCTTATGCCCTCTTCATTTTGGAGAACATTTGAGCTGGTTTTGCTCCCAATGAAAAGAAGTGACTGGTTCAATCATGATAATTTCACTGTATGTCCAGGCCCCAGTACGAACAGCTGTAACAGTTTGCATCATATATTTTCATATAGGCACCTTTGCTCCCCCAGACAGTTCAAGAAACAACAAACACTTTAATCTTCATAAATAAACTTTAAAATGCAAAGACTTCAACATTCTATGCTTAAAGGCGGTGGTAAAATTTATTAACTTATCACTCTCTCATGCAGTGCATTCCTCTTTCATAGGGCTGACTAAAACTTCTGCTACCACAGCCTGTCTCTCATTAAAATATATGACCCAAACTTGAATATTTTATAGCCACTACTGAAGAATCAGGAAGGAAACATGCAGGCAATCAGCATAAACCAACTTTTTCCAAAAACAATCACAGCCATCTGAATGGATTTCCTTGAATTATGCCAAAGAATTAAACAAAACTTTAATGATGTCTCCTATTTGCTGTACTCAAAGAATGCTAGACAGGTAGCATTCTTAAGTTGATCTTACCTATGTTGTATTAATGGGATTGATATTCCCAACATGTTTTAATATCTTGAAAATAATACTGATATAGGAAAAAAATGCAATTTTTATTTGTCTGAAGTAAGGATTGCAACATTCATGGAGATCAGGCAAGGACACTGATACTTCACGATCAAGACAGTTAAGATCAACCCAAACTGTTTTTCTCACATCAAAGGAAAGACATTTTTCTCCTTAGCTCTGACTGTGGTCAGCTGGAGCTTTACAGCAAAACACAATAATAAAGAAGAAGAGAGGAAGAAGCGCTACCTTTCTCAGCATGACAGAAAAAGAAGCAGCTTGCAGACAAAATATTTAGTACATATTTTACAGAAGTTCAGAAAAACTTTATTCAAATTTAAAAGAATTCAAATACATACAGGCATATTACTCCAATCTGCTTAAACTAATATCAACATTTATAAATAAGGTTCTGTATATTCATAATAGTACAGTTGAAACTCTAACTATATACAAACCAGGGAATTTAGAACATAAATACTTCTCATTGATTTTAAATTCAGAATTACAACATAGCACACAGATTTGGGAAATACTGGGACTTAGCAAAAAGTTCATGTAAGCTCCTCCATGCTTAAAAGACAACTCATTCTACAAAGTGGTCTTAATTTTCAGTTAAGCTACATTCTAGCTTCCAATTCTGCTGCACAAATTTCGACATGGCCTTTGCATATACTAATGAAACATCTTTACATCTAATTAACTTTCTATTTAAGTAAATGGTGTGATTACAGATTCCAGCCCATGATTAACACACTTTCACCTGGATGTAGTTGATCAATTTATATTTTTTTTTATGCTAGGCCCAATATTTGCATATTTAAGTAATTCCTAAAAGGAACTGAATGGAGACAGAAAAACACACCATTTCCAACTGTATTTTGTACAGTAAAGCACATGATAAGGACACCAGTATTTCCAGGCAGCTGAATAACAGCACAGCAGAAACATGAACACACAAAACTTACATTTCAATGGGCAAAATCCATATAACTTGTCAACATCAAAGTCTGAAGTGGTTCCACACCAGAACCAGCCATCTGATCTGCCAGCATCTGTGCAGTCAGCGTACCATTTATCACCAAACTTAAAAGGGAATACACAAGGTGCTCCATTGGCATTTCCTTTCACTGTGTAGGTATCTAAGGAGACACAACAATTTAAAAATGTATAAGTAGCAATAACCATGGGATATATACCAGTTCAGCTTAATGATCATATTATGGCATAGCATAGCAAGTGGAGCTTGCTAACTTAGTATATAAACTGCACTAGAAAAGAGACATTGATAGTTTTGCTCTCTAGGTCTAAGCTGATACCCACGTCCACAATGAAACAAATTTTTTGCTTAAGGAGACCACTGACTGGAACTGACTGAGTCAAGACAAGTATATTCCTGTGCTAATTTTTACATGTATAACAATCAAAAGCATAAAATCCACATAGTTTACCATTTTTTTAAAAAAGAACAAACAACTGCTGATTCTTGTGCCAATAATCCACTCAACTGCTGACCATTTTAGACAGGGAAGAGCATGTACATATAAACTTTAAATATACATACCACAGAGTGACTCCAATATACTATGCCCAAATAAAATTTCCATTGGCATCTAAAGATAATTTTCGTTTCATCAGAAATCTGACTCAATGAAACTTACCAAAGTAACTAAAGCAATTTTCTATGAGTGCACATATAATGTACATGCATTGACAGGAGGACATGCAGAGGAACACTACCTGACAGGGACTACTAGAGAGGCGACATATCATGGTCACTGTCTCACAGAGCTGCTAGAAAACAAAGTAGGAAGGAATGACAGGCCTTCACGCAGTCTTCCCCCCTGCCTCCTTTCACATAATTTGCTTTGCTAGGGTTCTTTTATTCTGGCTTTAGACCAAGGACGAGTACTATAATCAGCCACTGTGTAAACCACAGAAAATGCATCCATACCTCCTTCTGTGACCATTTCTGTTTATCAAAGAATACTAAATGGGAAGCCAAACATACTCCCAGATACTTATCATAAATATATGGATATAGGTATATAGGTATCATACATAACTTTTTCAAATGTAACTATTTAAAATATCTTGTTTCTTTGTCTAACACTTCAGCATCAACTCTGAGACCTACTTCAAACACCTAAGAAGGTATCTTCAATATACTAGAGCTGAAGATACCAAGAATTAACAAAATCCTTACAGCATAATTAGTATTCACTTCCTAAGGAAAAAAAAAAACATAATCAACAGACTATACCTTACACTACATCTTTCTGTACACATGTGAATAGTAAAAGCTATCATCAACTGTTGTGTAATAATTATACACAAGTTCTGAATAACCATAGACTTTTTCCCCCTCTCCAAATGAATCACTATGGTGTATGGTTAATTATCTATCAGAATTTTGACAACTTTGACCAAAAAGCAAAATGAACCCCTCAAAGAGCATAAAATACACACTCAAGTATTGCTGATTTCTCCAGAAGTCACACTCACTGATCATTAACAAGACAAAGGAAATTCTCCTATGCTTCCAAATATTTTCATTAGATATGCATAGAAATGAGTTTGAAATACAGAAATTAATTTACAGAACTTTACCTTCATAGCCTCGAGAACACAAATCGTCTGTGGTTCCGTAGACTTTCCACCTGCTCCATAAACCAGATCCCTTGTACAGCATAATATTCCTTTCCTGTCTGTTTCCATAGTTGAAAAACAAATCTTCCCCTTGGATTGCAAAAAGAGTCTCGTTTCTGCATTCCCATCGCTGAAGTTCACTAGCCTTGTCACAAGGATACAGAGTGATCGGAACCCAGTCTTTCTTCGAAGGCACTCCCAAGCACAATTTGAACGCTATGCTCATAAGCTGGTGATCTGAGACCCACCTGAATTTTTGTGACTCATTTTCTTGAGCACAACGAGCAGTAGTCACTGAATTAGAACTTTGAGCTAGTACACAGCGCTTGTGGTCTTCATTATATATTAAGAAGATGCTAGTATCTGTAAGGCAAAAAACACTGCAATCATTCAGTTTGAAGTAATCCCACCTACTATATAAACGAAATATGAATCTAGATGCTACTCTTGTGGTTAAAATCTCATCATCTGTTCAGCAAAAGAAGGTGCGACACTTCTGTGGCCTATGCCTGTTAAAGTGACTGTAGAATGCAACTGGCACAGATGTGAGGATATTTCAACTATTTTGCATCACTGAAAGCATCTACACTCAAAAGTGCAAGACAGCAGAAATGCAGACCTAGTGTCTCCTGTAGCTTTAAAGCATGAGCTAAACTGAAGAGAAAGAACACACTCATGGTATTATTCTGAGCTGCACTCACGGGAATTACTGAAACAAGGGAGCACACACACCACACACTGCAGATCCTGACACTGAGGACTCCAGCAGCACTGGCTCCTTGATCCTGGCTCCCAGGCGTGAGGAGACAACAGCCACTAAGTTCTCCAGGCTCCATTTGCCCGCTGTGGGGAGTTTTGCTCCCATAATCTCTGCTAAAATCCTTACAGTCTTAGCTGAGGGGAAAGATATTTTCCTAAGCTTTGCACACAAACTACTTGTAGGGCTAGAGTAGCATATTCATTTTTCACTCAATTGCAGTCATCAGTGATTTCTTTCTCCTTTCTTACATTTCTCCATTATGAATGAAATACTGACAACAGTGGGATTTGCCATCATCAGGTATGCCTCTTAAATACTTACAAAAATACACGAGGCTCTTCATAGCTCCCGAGGTTATACCTCCTTCTTAGTAAATAGTGCTTTGCAGAATGCATTTTCATGTATTCAAGGTTTACTTCAAAATTGTAACCACTAGCATGTCTAAAACTTGGATGTGCTATGTAGTGCAACATTTCTGAGGTGGTCTTGCCCAAAAACTGAGAATTTCTGCTCTCTGATCTCTCAGATCTGATATTTAAGGGGAAAACATGTTAACCCCAGAAAATTTTCCCTTCTCTTTTCCTTCTCATTTCCTTCACTGTGGAAATGGCCATACTTTTCTGCAGAAAAGCAACCTGGGAACAAATACCCTCTCTCTCAGAGAAAGAGCTGACCTAGACTTATCCACGGTTTCCTTCGCCTGTCCTTTCGCTCCCAGATCACTGGGAAGCAGTGTAAAACTGATGAGCACTGGAGACAGAAATTGTTGTCTTTTGCCAATCTGTTTTACTCACAGACAATACAAGGAAATGTATAATTATCACTGCTGGTGATAACTTCTTTTTATTCTGCTTTTCTACTAGTGTTTAGCACAATGTTATTGTAAACTGATATATGCAATGCTTGCAAATTTCCTTTTCCTGAAATCTTATTTAAAGTTTCTGGGTAAAAGAGATGTCAGACATTTTCACATGTGTGGAAAACACTGCCTAATCTTTCAAACTGCTAAAATTGTATTTGTGGCTTAAAATAAGATTCCTTATTTTATGTCACTTATGATGTTAAAGAGAGGATGCTATGCACATGAAAAAGGTAGCCCAAAGTCAAAAGCCTGGATTGCTGCACCCAAGCCTGAAAGGATATGGAGTTTTAGCTTCAGAAACAAGGTTAAAAAGCTGAACAAAGAGGTCTGGCCAGAAGGAAAAAAAAAAAAAGAGAGGAAAAAAAAAGAAAGAGACAAATCTTTGGCCCTCTACTATTCTGACTGCACCTTTACAAAGCATTAGCAGTGTGTAAATGCAACACGGCTGCTTATAGAAGGGCCCCAGTGCACACAGGGTTCTGACAGGGAATAACACGTAGGTAAGCAGTGAAAGGGCCACCACAGCCAAGCAGGCATTGGAAAGAAGTTGGCATCAAAACAGGAGGACAGAACAGGAAGTAGCAGGATGCAGGAGCAACCGTGGCTGAGACGGTAGTTGCAGGATTTCCTTCCCCTCAGAGTTGCTCCTGACTCATCCATGACTACAGCAGAGTTGTAGCATGGTCCTGTATTGCTCTAGTTTACAGCTTTATTTCTGTGTTTATTCTGCCCGTTTGGACACCAAAGGTGATTCCCACATAACACTTTCTGCATCAGTTATTAGCTAGTCTGGAAGAATATGAAACAAGCCAAGTATTTGTGCAACACTTTCTTTGCCCTGCCAACTCTTCTATGTAAATACTTCATATCACTCCTGTCAACATGATGAGTTGTATCTGTAAAATCAGCTGAGCAGAATTACTCATATAACCATTAACTGCATTTCACTGTTCTGTAGCAACATTCGTTATAGACCTCCCATAGCAAGGTGTCATTCTTCACTATAGATGAGCTGTAGGTGCTACACTTAAAGGTCCACCACAGCATGATCATGAGTACCACAGTCTTGGTACTTTGAATTACACCAACTGCTAACAGAGAAATCCATATTTTGAAACTTACTTCTGGAAGGAGGTTCTCTAAAAATGCACAGGAACATGCCAGGCATAGGAACCAACTTACTTCACTGTTACAACCTATTCAAGGAGATCTAGCATCTTTTCCCTCAAATGTCCCAAGGGGATCCTAACAGAATTTTTCTCACAGGCTTTCATTTTTCTTCACCCACCACACTATGACTATTTGCCTATCTCTAGCCCCAGTTTACAACTGAAGAATTGTGCCAAGTACTGTAAAATCTCACTGGCCAAGTATCTTTTCCACAGTAAAGATTTCCAGTATGCCATGGTAGCTTGACACTCTGCAGCATTTACAAACTATCACAGATTATGCAAGTGTAAATCAAGAAGTAACTTGTGAAGCGCTACCAGTGTTAAACACTAATGGAGAGCATCAGAAGAGCACACCAAAAGCCAGAAGCAAGAGAGGGGGGAGCAACGAGACAGCAAGAAGGTGGGATGACTGTCTTCTCCATGCAGACTCTCACTTACTCTCACTGGCCTACAGTGGTTGCTGCTAATTACACAAAGTAAGAAAGATTACAAGGCAGTGTTACGAAGTTTTGTTTCAGTAGACCTCAAACTGGAGAGTGAAGGATGTGAGAGGCTTTCAGAAAGAGCAGGTGTAAAACTTTCACTGAAAAATAGCTGTGTGCTGGAAATCATGATAATTCTCAGAGTGAGTGGATGCAAGCTCCAGGTTTCACCAAGAAACACAGCTTTCACCTGTTTTCACAGCTTTAACTTGTGCCGATACCTCAGCTACCTGAGCATCCCCCTACAAAAGCCATCTGCCAAAGGCAGGTCCCCAGGCCCATCGAAGACCAGAGGACTGGAGGAAAGGCAGAGCCCCAACAGCAGGCCCTTCTGCAGACCTCACTGATGAGCAAATATTTGAGGGAAAGCTGGGTGATAGTGTTAAATCGATTAGGGACTGAGGCCCCGGAGCAGTGGGGGAAACTGAGGCATCACCGGTGACAGCCCTATTTGGCTCTCACAACACCATGGGCACCCACTGGGCTGCCTCATGGGGCAATTTCACCCACCGGGCACCTCAGACTGCAGGTGAGGAGGGGCAGGCAGTTGGGGTGGGCGGCTGAGGGAGGGCCCGAGGGGAGGTAGCTTGCCCTC